CATGCAAATGATTATGTAAATGATATTTGAATATATTTTATCAAACTTAATCCTGCAAACATACAAGTAACCGTATAAAGATAAAAGCTTGCAACAAAGAAAGATGATTTTTTAAATTATTCATAATAATTCTGATATTCCATAATTGAGATCATTTCAAATAATTATAATTTCTCAATAAAAATTGTGCTTTCATTAATTTTAGCATAATTTTGAATTCCGCACAGGAATTTTTGATATGGTTTAATATCATTTATTTATGATAATGGCAAAAATGCAGTTCCAATATGTTTATTCAGGACAGTGTGCAACAATTTAAATGTTTCTGATTTTAAATTGATAACATGACATGTGGAAAAGCAATATTCAAATATTCTAAACTTTGAACAGTTAAAAAAATTGCAAAAACTTTCTGATCTTTTATTAAACAACGAAAATTATATCAAAAGTTGATTCAAACATTCTATAAATGGACTATCTGTAATTTGATTTAAAGTTAAAATTTGATTTTGTCAAACCGGTAAAGATTAGAGGTACATTAATTAAGTACGAAATTAGAATCAATCCACGAATCACTGTTATTAATGCAACAAAAATATGAGTTGAGGGTATTATAAACGGTAGCAGTAATTATTTTTGAGTGCAAACAAAAATTATCATAAAATTTGAAAGCTTGAAATTCATGCAATTAAAATTTGAACGAATACGTTTTTGATTTAATTTTATTTAATGCTCAATTTTAAAATATATTCATAAGAACAGTGCACAATTCAAAAATTGTTGAACACAAATTTTTATAGAAATATTCAACAATTTAGTGCATTATTTGAAGCTTTTATTAGGACGAACAAATGAGAATTCAAGTTTCAAGCTAACTTATTTAAGCGAACTGATCAAAGCCCTTTATCAAAATTGTGAATAGATAAAATTTGCTGTTTTTGAAATGCTTGCTAAAATGAATCTCATCTAGCAAAACGTCAATTTCATGGAGGAAATAGCGAATTTTTGGAAGTTGAGCAGTAAAAACGCAAAATTTTAATAGTATTGTTATTCGTATTTTCATATACTTAAATTGTTATCCATAATTTAGTCTTAGATTATTAATCGTATTGTAGTCAAAAAAGTATTGAAAAATTTAATAGATTTAAGCTAATAATGACATTTTCATTCATATTCAAGTATACATAAACTTTTACAGTAAACTAAAAGAACTGATTGACTTACTAATTAAAAGAAGGAGATATGAATAAGAGTTGATGACCCAATGCAAAGCAAACCCGTTCTAGCCTTAAAGTATGGGTTCAGGTTTTGCTCCGGATCATTCATGAAAGACTTATTATGGAAGTAGAAAAGTAAATCATCTTCATACTCTCGATGATATTTATAAGCAACATTGAGGCAGTATTATTGCACTTCATATAACTGAGAAAATTACAATTTTTAATCAAAAACTAATAAAAAAAGAGCAATTTGAATAAAAGCTAATCTGCTTAACAAATATCGTTAAGACAAAGCTAAGATTAATAATTATAATGAGTCAAGGACTTGGTAATTATTATCAGTGAATAACATCCCAAATAAAGTTTTAAAGCAGAAAAGTCATGAAAATTTGCATACAAAATTATTATCCACTCAAATTTTTGTTATGCAAATTGTTAACAACTACTACTAGCATTTATGTCTTCACTATCATTGATAATATTTGTATCAGACAAATGATGATGATGATGATGATGATGATGATGATTATGATATTGATGATATGATGGTGGTGATAATGATGGAGATAACAATGCTCGAATCTCTGAGCAGTTCCCGTTGCAACGACTGATTTGTTGTGGATTTTTGCAGATTAAGAAGGGCACGTAAAACATTTTACTATGAAGTAATACCGAGGATGCTGAATGTAACATTGGTAACCTGTAAAATTTAATGTTAGAATGAAAAAATTGAATAAAAATATGAAAATGAAAAAATATAGAGCGAAAAAAAATAATAAATATTTGATAAATGAGGGATTTATTTAATTTGCTTAATCTAATTAATCTTAATTCTAAATATAATATAAGCAAATCTTATTTTATTTCACTGAAAGAATTTAATTACGATAAATTATTAAATAATTCAAAACATAAACTTTTTTAATTCCAGAAAAAATTGTTTAAATTTTCATTTATTTCTATTCAAAAATTCTCGAAATAAAGTTTTAAAACAGAAAAGTCATAAAAATTTGCATATAAAACTGTTTAATAATAAGCATTTAATTTAAAATATTGAAGTGGTTTTAAGGAAAGAATGATTGTTCAAAATTATAAAATTTGTTTTAAAATCATTTGAAATTACATAATTCAAAATTATTCAAAAAAAAAAATGAACCAAGTAAGAATATCAGTTAGTCTTGCACCATTTTCATGTTGACTTAGATGGATCTGTAAAGCTTTCACAAATTGATCTTGGATAAGTGAAACTTTCCGAATATATACACTTCTTACCATTGATTCCTTCATATCCATTGGATTTTCATCTGAAAATTTAAACATACAAAGAATACTTTTAAAAATGGACTCAAAAATCATTTGATATTAATCCTTCAGTAAAAATATTACTTATTAATGAGCACTTTCTAGAAAAACTTCACTTATAAACATATTAGTAAGTTAATAAAAAACTTAAGCAAGACAGAATTATCTCAAAGTAAGCATTTTAAATAAAAGTCTTAAAAAGATTTGCTTCATGCCTGAATTTATTGTGAAGTACATAAGTTGAACTGATAATAGTATTAATTATAGTTTTAATTAACAATAAAATTATAATTAATAGACAAAAATTCAAATATATTGTGCTCTTTTATTTACTTAAAGTTTAAATTCTGCATATACTGTTATCATCAAAATATTCGATCAAAATTTAGTCTAACTTCTCCGCCACTCATTTTATCAAATATCTTAGATAATTAAATACAAAATTTTTAATCACATTATTAAAATTTTTTAATTGCTATTTAATTTTGGATAAAATTTCAAATTAAATTTGAAGAAATACAAATTTGAAATTTATATTTTTATTATATCAATAATTGTGCTTTAATAAACAAACCACAATTATGAGGTGTATAATGTAGCAAAGTAATCGCCTTGAGACAAACATATGCTTCAAGTGTAATTTTCAAGCGACTAAAGGAATGAAGCAAAGCTGTGAACTTTTCTACCAATGATGAAGCTTCTCTGAAAGTTTACAAAAATGATCAAATTTTTTGCAATTTTTTTTATCTAAAATAAAATTATAGCACTTACAATAGTATACGATGTACTTTTTATCAGTACAATTCTAATTTGCAGTCATTTAAAATCTTTGCTGATAAAATTATCAGCAAATTTTGTTTGAAAGTAATTATTTGCAATAATCAATCTAAACTGGCAAATACAACTAAGACTAAGTAAATAAGATAAGAGAGATACGAAAATGGTAAGTAAGTTTTTGTAATTAAGTATCAATTTGTTTCCTTGTGCATATCACAATAACAAAATATTACCTATTCATGAAATTGCCATATTTAACTTTATAAACTTTTCAATTATATGCAAGTGTAGACGAACTTATTCACATGTTCCAATGGTATATTTTTTCCCATTACAGCACTTAATCGTTTTTGTAATAATTGTAAATTGATAGAAGAATCAACAAATGATACTTCTTCGCAGTCTTCAGTAGTTGTTGAACTTACTGGTAAACTGTCTTGACTAGATGTTCGTGTTGATGCTGCGTAATAACACGCTGATAACAACACCTGCAAGTGTGATATTGTAATGTAATGATTTTGAAAACTATAATTTTTATTCATTTAATGATAATTATTATTAAATAAATAACTTCAAATGTATTATTTATGTTTAAATTAAATCTTTATTGGTCTAATTTACAAATAACGATAATGCATGCAAATTATACAACAGTCAGACAGACATTTGGTGACAGTGGTATTGCTAATTGCTAAAACTTCTGACTTTTACTGCCATATAAAATGAAAATAATTATAATTATCATTATTATTAATATCATCAACAATATCAATGTCATTAATGTTAATATTAATATTGAATATTATTATTATTACCGTTATTACTAATTGTTATTACTAATAATTGGACAGATATTACTGCGTTTTTCTATTTCTTAATCTTTTTCTACTGTATTTCTTGAAACTAATTAATGTGCTATGTGTAAATGTCGTTGACTTTTCCATGGTACATTTCTGTACACATACTTTGTAAGTATTAAAAAAACATATAATTTGTTTTTAAATAACATTGAAAAGTTTTAGTTTTAGTTTTGAATTTAATTAAAAATTTTTTTGATTATTAATTTGAATATGAAATGATATTTGAGGTAGTTAATAAATATGACCAGTTCAGCCCATCGTTGAGTTAATAAATGAGTGTGTACTTCTACGGGTAATTCATTGTAAAATGGCAGCATTTTTGTCCATTCTACTAGTTGTTCAACGATTTCATCACCAATTCTTGATAACCTTTGACATGCTGGGGTTAGTGAATTAGCAGTAGTTGACCCCAAATGTTGTGCTATTCGTAAACCTTTTAAATTGATCAACTTTTCGATATGATCTATTTCAATCAATTCCTAAAAAAAATGAGTAATTGTTTTTTAAATTAAAGAGCAATCAGTGCTATAGAAATTTCTCCTCTTATAATTTAATCAAAATAAATAAAAAAAGTAATTTATAATTGGAAAAATTATTTTTCTAATACAAAATTAAAATATAAAACTACGCACTTTGATTTTTTACAATTTACAATTTTTTCTTTTTTTTTATTTTTTAAAAAAAGTTAAAAAATTTTTGTATGAAAGGAATAGAAATGAAATGGAATCAAGAATTATACAACGCGATGTAAGCAAGGAAGCGATTCTGAAAAAGTTAATTTTCAAATTACAAATAACTTAGAATCAGCGCTGAATAAATTATTCAAGTAATTTTATTAAACTGAATTTTATTTAAAATTCAATAAATTTCTTAGATGAAATTAACCAATTTAATTTATAGTTAAAAATATTTATTATTTATACTTTTTTCTCAGACATTACCTAAATTACTTTTTACTACCAAATCTTTTGCTGAAAAACTTAGGAAAAAAAAGCTTTGCATGAAAAATACTAATCTTCAAATTAAAAATAAGTTTTTACCTAATATTAGAAATAAAAAAAATAATAAAATTTAAAAAAAACCTAATATAATTTAAATTATAAATTAGTCCGTAAGACACTTAAACTTATTATGCGAAGTCTTTATGCGTGATTGTTGAATCTAAAGCCGAGAAATAATAGCAAGTTCTGCTCAGTTATAACTTTTCACTTAAGTTATCTGCGCCATAAAATGAAACGGCGTGGAATGTCATCAATTTAGACTTAATATATGAATTTGAATAATTTAAATACTTACTGAAAATGAGTAATTTTTTAAACATTGTTGCAGTGATTTATGTTACAAAATGTCATTTCACAAAAGAAAAAATGAGTCTTATGCGTTATAAACTTTACTAAATCAGTTCCTGAATAATATATTTGATCAGTTGTAACTTTTTGAAACAAAAATTTGAAAGTTTTGAAATTTTTGTTAAAAAATTATCAATTTTCATGAAGAGCAATAAGCAATACTTTGCTCAATTATTCAAATTTTCAATCTGAAATAAAGTAACTTTAGATAGATGATTATTCAAAGAATACAAAAATAATTTGATTACAGTCACTTTATTTATTTAGATTATGTTTTATGTAGCAATGGACTGCTTTCAAAAATTTTTAATATTAAATTTTTATTTTATGATCAACTAATTAATGATTGAAAACAAAACTTGCAAATAAGAATAAGCAGTTTCACTTCAGATTTTAATTTGAATTTTTGTTCAAACAAATAATAATAATAATAATAATAATAATAATAATAGTAATAATAATAACTAGTGTCACTACAATGTGATCTTGATAAACCAACTTCTAGTCGTTAAGCAAAGAGCTGAAGCTAATTTTTCAGCAAAGAGTATTTTCTTATTTGCATATTATTAAATGCTGCAAAAGGATGTAAATAATTTTTATAATTGCTAGCTCAAATACTTCTGAAAACTATACTTCTGTTTATTTTTTAACTCAAGAAAATACGACGAAAAGTAAAATCAGCCTTATTTTTTATAAATATCAAAATAATATGCATATAAAATATAAAATACGAATTTACAAATGCAAACTTTTCGCTTAGTTTTATATAAAAATTAAAGTATGCAAAGTGATAGTATTTTTCAAACAAACTTACTCACTGATTATGCCACAAGAATTAAGTATAAAACTTTAAAATAATATAATATTGCTTGAGTTATCTTTTTTGAATAGTTTCTTCAGTCAGCCTGAATAAAATTAAAAATAAAAAGATTGATATGTATTTTTGACTTCAACTCCAAAATTATTCATATAATAAAGAAATAAGATTCGGAGTTAAAATTAGTGTATTAAATTTGAACTTGACTTGCAATATGCATAAATTGTTTTGAGAAGGCACTCTGCATGATTAATTTTGTGATAATGATATAAAGTATAAAATAACGTATATGTTACCTGTATAAGGTTCTTATTATGAGTAGGAAGTGGAGATCGAGTAAGATTGCAGTGCACAGTTGTACTTGCACCATTAAATTCATTTGCTATTGTGGTTTCCTCACTCCGAATTGCATCTTCCTTAGCGGATAAATTAAGAGGTTCTACGGTTGAACGTAATTCAGGTGCAGGGGTACCTAAGGGTGGACTTAACGGGGATCTACGCCCGGTAATTGCTTTCTTTTCCGTTGGCATACCTCGAAAAGGAGATCCGGCATAAGCATTTGATGGTGTACCACAACGTGATGAGTTTTCACGTAAAATACTTTCGCACAAGGCTTGCAAACGCTTAGTTTTTTTATACTTCAATTTATACAAGTTATAAATTGCACTTCCATTTCTGCCGCCGGGCATTCGATCCTCACGTACTGCTGAAAATTACAAAAAAAATTTTCTCAATATCTATATTATTATGAATGATTATTTTTAGCTGTAGTTGAAGCAATCATTTCTTATAATAACAATTATAAGATCAGAATTGATAGTATTGGAAATGAAAGATAATGGTGAATAATTATTATTATAAACTAAGAATGGATTCAGAATAGACTCAAGTTAGAATACAAGTACGGAACTTATAAGATAGTAGCAATGAATTTTTGTATTTTGGAATCAGACATTTTAATATAGGTTAATTAACATTATAATATGACCGAAAATTATGTGACAAATATAATTAACTTTAAAACTAACCTTCAAGGACCATACCCTGTTGTAAGCATTTCTGAAATCGACAAAACTGACATCGATTACGTTGTTCTTTGGTCATTGGGCAGTTTCCGGTACCGCTTACGCACGTGTACATGCGTTTGTTTTGTACCGTTCTCTTGAAGAATCCCTTGCACCTGCAAGTAATGTCAGTTTTAAACAGAATGCACACATGCATATACATACGCTCACACCTATAATTTGCAAATAATGTCAATTTTAAACAATTCACGTAGACACAGACACGCATACACACACATATACGTGTACAACTACATACATATCTCTATTGAAATACAAATAGTTGTCACAAATTTAAATTGTCTTAAAGTTAAAAACCACTAGCAAAATTTTAATCCGTCATAAACTAATGTACTACTTGCATGCATAATATTTGGATTTTAAATGGTATAAGGGAATATAGATTTATGTTTCTGTTTATATGAAATATTAGCAGTGATAAAACTGATAATTGAACTTCTTGTTATTATTATTATTATTTGTATTATTACTGGTGTGTAAATCAAGAATAAATGTATGAAATTTGTTTGGTAATGAACGATAAAGTAGAAAAATAAATGATACTACTAATGCAAATAGTTGTGGCATTAAAATGACTGAATGGTTTTATAGGGCGTTTAAAATGGCGATCATGATTGCGATAAATTAGGTCAACATCACCAAATGAATTTTAAAATCTTTATTCATCTTCAGTTTCTATGCTTTGAACAGATGTATTTAGCATTTGGTTTGAATTTGGTGTTTAAAATTGAACTAGTTAGCAATTAATCTTGGTACTGTAACTAGAATTAAGGCGGTAAATGTTATTAAGTTGTTAACCAAAGTTCAGCTAATGAACCAAGTCTATAATTTATTCTACTACAACAAATTGGAAAATACAGTTATTCATTTATTTTTTGAACTTGTGCAACTGATTAAATGATTATTTATCTGAACAAATTAGGATTATCACTAACAAAGTTGGTGCTTTTTTATAATTGTAAAATGTAGGAATAATGCATACTTTATGATTGATTTCAAAGTTAAAATCAAAAATTGTGTACTGGAATTGATAAAAAGATCATATAATTTAAACATTTACTCAATTTTTAGTAACTATTTCATTTAGTATAATTAACGAACTTTTTTAAAATAAATCAAATAGTCAACTATATGGCTTAATGCATACATTATAATTTTCCTTCTAGTTGTGAGATAATAATTTTAAAACAAAATTTACAATTATTTTTATTTATTTTACTTAAAAATACGTAAAATACACTTGTTTTAATGAAAAGTATTTTTGCGCTCACTTCTTGAGAAAAAAGAGTTCAAGGCAAACCTGAACTGTTTTTTTTCATATGTGAATTTCAAATGTTTAATCAGTGAAAATAAACTTTTAGTAAAAATAATTCAGAATAAAACGAGAACTGAGTTATTTTATTTAATCGGCTACTTTTACTGCTAAATTAGATTAATAAATTATTACTGAATATTAAATGAACTATTAATTAAAAAGCTGTTTTCTTGTATTTAAAAAATCAAAAGCAAAATTTTGCAAATATTTTAAAACTTACAAAACAATGTGAATAAGTAAAAGTAAAAAATAAAGTTATACTTACATTAAAAAATTGAAAATATGCTATTCGTATTTTTGTGAATAAAATTTTTATTTAACTCATATATCTATTAAATAATCTACAGCCAATTAAATTAAATCAAATTAATCGAAAAAAAAAACAAAACTTCCCTAACATGCTAATAGATTGATAAAAGATTTGCAATCACAATGAGATAAGTCTATATTTGGTTAAAAATTTTTAAAGAATGCGAAAAATTAATACAGTGATTAGAGTAATCTAAGCTAGCAGAAGACTATCCAAATTTAAAACTTTGCTGCTAACTCAAAATTTAGCATCACTGAGCAAAGTAATTAGCAATTATTCATTTGTGAGAAGTAATTAATTTTTAAAGTCAACAAAATTGAATATGAAAAATGGTTTGCAATAAATCTTTTGCATAAACGAGTATGCAATTTTTGTTTATATCAAATCAAATCTACAAGCGAGAATGAATATTTTTAATTAATGTATTTATTTCAAGCTATCAATAATTTTATTTTTCAGCTTTTTTTTTGAAAAACACTAGTGATAGTACGTAGTAGACGGAAAAAAATAATGTTAATAAATATGCATAATAATGCTAATAAATATGCATAAAAAGTATGGCAATACTAATTACTCTTAAACTTTTTACACTCAAACTACATTCAAAAATGAAGTATTGTATTTATGGCACAGTAAAATTTACAAATACAATTAGTAAAAAAATTGTATTAAACTTTTAAAAATAGATCTGAAAATAGCTTTATAAAAATACTTGAAATGCTTAAAAAGTGTGCAAAAAAAATTAATCCAAAAAAGAGTTGGAAAATTAGACGCAATCATATTAATTTTATAATATATTTTATTAAAAATTATTGCATTAAAAAGATTAAATTAAAGTATTCTAACCATAATCAAATGAGATTTTGCATATAAAGTATTTTGCTAAATTTTACAAAAAATGAATCGAAAATATGTAAAAATAAAAATTAACTCTTATAATTTTAGAACAAAAGTAAAAATAATTATATATGAATAAAACTTATAGGTCAAAAAGGTTAAAGTTCGAAACAGAAAGAACAAAATACAAAATAGATAAGTGAAAAAATATAGAGAGAATCACTGTACATTTGAATCTAATCGCATTTGAAGGCTTATTCTGATGACAGTGATGATGGCATCAGAGATTTGATCATATACTTCTTGACCCTAATTAAATTCAAATTTTTGTTGAAGGTCTGGTGGTGCCATCATCTACCAGTGCCAATGCTTTGAAATGTTAAACGAAATGTTGTTAAAAAAACAATTTGTCTCTACATGTGACAGTTCCGAGGAGGTGCGAAGAAATAAATAGCGTGAACAAGAGAGATAACAAATGACGGAGAACGTGAAATGTGGTTGGATCAAACCTGGTAACCCATTTCCTGAGCTATTCAAATAAATCAGTTCAATGTCGCATGTATCAGGCTGTGCTTTCCTGATATCCTTTCCTATTTACTAATTATCATTATTTCTTCTATCTTTATAATCATTTTGCTGATACAATTTTTACATTGCCTAATAATTATTTTGATTGCCACTTTCGGTATCAATATATTAAATTATTGATTTTAAGCTAATCAGTGATAACAATGATTACTATCAAAATACAGTTATAATAATTGTAAAATTATCAGTAATCTTATTAGTCTTTGCATCATTTTTAATTGCAATCATATTTATTATTTAAATTCAATTAAAAGTCAAAAAAATTTTGCATTTTTCATTTTATCATTTTATACGTTCTGCTACTGTCATATAATTTGCATGAAATTATAACAATACTCAAATTATCAATTTTTTTTTTGATTAAATTTTTCGTGCTTTATTGTCTAAAAATTACTCAGAGAAATAATAAATCGACTTTATTAATTTTATTTATATTTAGTTTCTATAAATTTAATTTTCTTAAATTTTACAATCATCACACTCTGTAAGTGTAATACTCCGCAAAATTCTATTTATACTATTTTATTGAAGTAATTACATTTTCCAAAATTATCTTCACGTGAGGTTAGAAAGCAATTACCCTTCACACGTGTAAATTCCGTAATGCAATCCTGATGATTTGTCAGCGCAAATAGCGCAAAGTAATGGATCATCATCTAAGTAATCAGTCATCAATACTGCTGTTAATTCCTTGGAACGATGTCCATCTAGACGTCCATTCCACGTTGTTTCCGAACTGTTTGATTGAGCTTTAATGCGAAAAAAATATTTGAAGATTTTTAAATAAATGTATTAAATTAATTTAATTATTAACAGTATAAAGACAAAAAATAGAAGTCTTTTGCAAAACACGTGTAAAAAATCTGTAATTATAAAGTTTTACGGAAATTTTAAATAAATATGTATATTTTAAATGCTAACATTCATTAAAGCGCATAAATAAATACAAGTTTATAAAATAAAATAATGAGACTATCAGAGGAAAAATATATTTGAGTTATAACAATAAATTACTGAGAAATGAATATATTTTGTAATGTAAAAAAATCTTAACTAATTATAATAAAATTATAATTAATTAAATAAATACACGTTTTAAACCTGATGTCAGTGATGGACTGCTTAGATTTGATCTGACTAAAGTTGTGGTTGGCTCAGCATTATAATGACTAAGCCAAGAGAATTTATCAGAGCTACGATCAGATCCAGTCATCGTTGTAGTTGTGATTCGATCTTTTGGTGATGTACTTGAATGCGATATCCGTGAACAAGACGTTTCAGCACTTTGAGGTGAATCAGGACTTAAAATTTCCTTTATTTTTAGTTTTCATCTTATTTTTGTAATATTTTTTTTAGCACTTTTGTATTTACTGTAGCTTTACTAATATTGTATTGAATTTTTCTTTTATATTACTCATAAAAATTTTGTATGAAAAAAAACATTTTTATACTTTGCCTCAATTTCATATTTTTTCAATATTTTAAATTGTTATTAATTTTTTTTAAAATGAGTAAATGAAAATTCCACAAAAAAAACTATGATAATTATCATATAAAATGCTTGAATTCGGAATAATGAAAGGCATCATTTTTCAGGGTATCTGCAAGTGCTACTACTTTACTTTTCAGCTTACTTAACTTTTTTTTACTACTTTGCTTGCCCTTTCTGACCTCCAAAAGAGCAGGTTTTGCCTGTATTTAAAAATACAATCAGCAGCTTGATGACCTAGCGACCTATGATGATCTCGCAACAGTTACAAGGACATTTATAATGATTCCGTCAAGGTCATCGATCTACCCATCTGTCTTGCCTGCTCTTCGTTACAAATAAAATTATCGAATTCGGTCAATTTCAAATTGGCTGAGCTACTGACATTCACACACATATACATGCATACATTTACAAAGACATTATTTATCGCAAACTTTTTAATAATAATCTTTTTTTGCAAGATTTATGAACTTATTATGTGCTCACAAAGCATAAACTATAATCTCTTTAAGTCTTTTTTACTAATTTTAGTTTTCAAAATTGAATCAGAAATTTTGATAAAGTTAACAGAAGCTTTATGCATAAATAAATGTAATGCATGTTTGTTATTGTCGTATGTTTTGTTGTTTTGACTTAAACATTTATTGCGATTTTAGAAAATAGCAGAACAAGAAGCATTAGGATAAGAAATCAGCTCGACTGTTGATAAATTTTGTCTTTATTTTTTGAAAAATTAAAGAAATATTAAAGCATATTCAAAACAATGTTACATATTCGTGATATCTATAAAAGATTTGAAATGTTAAGTTGAAAATATCTAACCTGCATTGTTCTTTGCAAATTGCCTTGCTACTTTCTTGATCCCAGGTAAATCGATTAGTGATCGGATTTGATACAATAGGATTACTGATTAGAGCAGTACTTGGTGATAATGAATGTGGACTGGAAAGGATGGATGGTCGCGCAACTTGCGCTAACTGATGCAAATTAAAGCCATGTCCCATTTGGGTTAAGTAATAACTGTACAAAGCAAACGGATCAGAACTGGCAGCATGAGAATAAGGCCTAAAATAATATAAAATAAAAATTAAACATAAGAATTTGCTTTTGTAAATACTAAACTAATCACCAAAAACATTACTGAATTTTAAAATTGTTTCGTTAGTTATTTTATACTGTTTATTATGAAAGATATAAGCAGTGAAAAAAAGCCATTTAAATTAACTATTTTAAGTTATTAATTACATATATTAGTATTTACTTGATAGGTTGCGGATGCACAATAACTGGATGAGATACACGTGAGGACGTGGAAGAAGTAATTACGGGAGATCGAAATGCCGATGCAGGCTCCGTTGCACTCATAGCTGAACTAAAAATTTTATATCTATAAAATTCCCTCCTCTAAAATCGACCAGTTTTGCTCGACCTAAAAGTTATTTGAGTTAAAGAGGAATTAAAAAATAAAACACAAGCAAATTTTTTTACAAATACTAAAAGAAAATGAAAAATTTATCATCATAAAATATTGGTAGAAAAAAAGACTGTTACACTTGTAGTCAGAAATAGTGATTATTTTTACAATGATTATTAAAAATTTAATTTGAATAATAAATTAAAGCTGAAGTATAACAATTAATAAATAATAATAATAATAAATAATTTAATAATTAAAGCTTAAGTATAAGAATTACTTTTTTAGTCCTCTAAAAGTGCTGTGTTAAGGAAATATTTTTTAGATAATTTTTTACACTATTATATAAAGTCATAAATGCGTAAGTACTCAAAATTAATATCATAAATTCTTAACTTTTATTTTTAAATATAAGACAAAGAAAATATGATAAGATATCAAAAAGTAAGAGCTGATAACGATTAAACAAGCAAAAATAATCACTTAAATAATAGTCAAAAAAAGTAACGATGAAAAATTGAAAATTTAGAAAGAGCAAAAATTTAAAGTTAATTTTTAATCATTTATTACTCAAATTTTCGTGCAAAATTAATAATTAAGAAATATCAATTTTGAACTGAAAATATTTGCATCAAATTTTTACTGATAAAATTAAATTTAATATTCAAATTTCATACATATTTTGGCTAATTTTTTTTTAAACTGTAAAAGCAACTTATTTTTTTAATAATTCATCATAATTTTTAATCAAAACATTCTTACGATCAAATTCAAAATTTTTGATTAATAATATTTATTTTTATGAGATAATGGCATTTCAAAAAATTTAAACTACTCAATTTATCATTCAGAATAATTTTATCTGCTATTATTAATTCATTAATTTTATAGAGAAAATAAAATAGCTCAAAAAAGAACAGTAATTAAACAAATATTATACAATCCTTAAAATGATTTAAAAAAATGCAAAATACCAAAGCTATAATAGCAATAATAAATTGCATAAATAAAACTTAATTAGTAATGATTTGATATGAGAATTACTTAATCAATATGGCAAAATTTATCGCATATTATTATTAATAATATAAAATAAGCAAATGTTTGAATGATATCAAAAGGATTGAAAAGTTTGCTGATTGAATTTGTATAAATGTGTATCATGCGTGGATTTTGCATTGAGAAAAAAGAAATTTCATCTATAGCAGTATGATATATAATTTTGTGCTCTTACACAATATTCAAGAGGAAGGTGAATGGTTTGCTTCTCTCACGTAGTAGCAAAAATTACGAGTAATACTTGTTCAGGTGGTGTGCAACATCTGGGGCGGTAACATGAGGGGACAAATGTCTATGTATGTGTCTGTATGCGTGTGTATTAGTATGTATGCAAGTGCGTGTGCGTGTGTGTATGTGTGGCATTGTTGTTGAACCATCATCAGGAACGAGTTGCGTCTTTACAAGGATACCACTTTATCAAGAGAATGAGAGCGGGGATATTATTTAGGCTGACACCGCGGTGTGGCGCAATCGCCATTACAAATGGGTATCTTATCGCTCATTTAGGCAGGGTCGGTTTCGCAGTTATAGGGTGTAATAAACAACCACTGGGGTAACAACACTTGTCATCTCGTGGAAATTAGGTGATCAAAATATCCTCCAGACATTTTCCTTCTATTACCTTTACTTATCCACTTTACTCTACTTAATTAATCTATTCTCAAACTTATCTTTAATAAGTTTGAATAGATAGAGTTGAATAAAATTTTGAGAATAGATTAATCAAGTAGAGTATGAAATAAAAATGTAATAAAGCAATAATATAGCGTTAATATTTTGATAAAACTATGGATTCATAAATTTATTGATTCAATTTAAATAAAAAAAACTCATAAACCAAGTACTTACAAGGTTATTTTATAGAAGATAATAACCTTGAAATAAAGACAACTAATTAACTTCATGAACAAGTAATTAATAAAAAAAAATCAGGAAATTATTGATTAAGTTAAGGAAGAAACTGTAACATTAATAAACATAGCTATTTAACTTATATAATCAAGAAAATATGGTAGAGCATATGGGTAAGTACGTATAAAAGGCAATGTTGCATATGGATGAAATAAAATTAAGTGTAAATTAAATATGGATGTGTGAAAAAATTGAGGTCATACGTGATTATAGTAATTTGATTATATAATAATCGTAAGGTAGGAAGTAATTCGTCATAACCAGTCAGCAACAATCGTCCGTCAATCATATGAATAACTTGAAGCAAGTAATATGGTACTGACCAACGGCTATCTATCCTCGTCCTCTTTTTTCCTCGAGATAAGTAGTTATGTCCTCGAATGTAGACAGATAGATGCATTTGTGCAAGAAAATGGTGCGCAAATTTTTGATGCGCAACCCATTTCGAAAAATAGATACCCTGCAATTGTTGCGTCCCAAAGATTTAGAGCAACAATGTAATGGCGGAAATTGGGTCGGGTCAGGTGGTGTCGTGCCCCTGTGGAAGGTACCGTGAATGACCCATTTTTATTTTGTAGTAACTGGAATTGCATGAACTAAACCTCTTTGAGGTCAATTTAAATGAAATACAATTTTTCATTAATGCACTTTTTGCTTACATGCTCATACAAATTAAAATTAGCACCTATAAAAGTTTGATTAAGTCAAAAGTATTACTTTTGGATGTCTAAGTAAAGTACTTGAATATTTGAATACTTGAATACTCTGAAAAAAAATTACTTGAATACTTGAAAAAAAATTATCAATTGCTATTTTGTAACAGAAGATTTATGCAGTCAGTTTAATACTACTTGAAGTCGGATTATTTGCAGCAAATGAAACATTTTTAAATCTACAA